TCTTGCATCACCGTGCTGGATTTGTACATCACGATTCCCAACTCGCACGATAACTTGACCCGTCTCGGGATCACTTCGCACGACCATGAATGGTTCGTTCCAACCCAACCACCCCAGGTCGTCTTCTGTGGTTGTGGGGCGATGGTAGTCATAGGGATCACCCTCTCGTTGTAAAAGTGCTGAGCGATGGTCGTCTTGGTTAGTAGTGCACGGCTTGCCTTTGCTACTGCAGTGGCTTGTGTGATAGCCTCAATGGTCACACGACGAACAGTCTGTCTCGATTATGATCGGATGTCTCCGTCTGCCGGTTGTGATCTAGAACAGGCGAGTCGGGAAACACAGCCGGTTGTCGGCCAAGTAATGCGCTGTATGATGATACTTCGCTGTAGAAGGTAAGCGCATCGCTGGCAAACACAGCCTCATGCAATAGTCGGGTAAACACAAGTGGTATGTCCAACCTGTTGAGTTCAGCCTCCATGACGTGAAGAAGGTGTCGTAATATGCCCTTTCTGGCTCCAATGGTAGTAGCGAGTTGTCCACGCGCGCGCATTCTCAGCTCAGTGCCTTTCGCCTTAAAGACTGCCTTCGCGGCGTCGTTATTGAGAGCACCCTCTTCGTCAGAGTATCGTACTCTGGCAGGCCCGAATTGCATCCAGCACTGATGGTGCGCATCCAGGATGCTGGTCATAGTTTTGTGTGGTATCTCGGTTCCACCGCGCAATGGTCGCGCCCCTGGGGCCCCGATCCCTAGTAAATTACTTGATATTCGCGTCCCCGAGGCCATACACCCTTGCAAAATACGCCGAATCCGCGCTTTTGGGAAACGTTGGAGTTTCTCGGATTTGCTCGCTTGTAGCCATAGCTTGAGAAACTGAAGATACAGTCGCATTTTCAGACTGCAAAGGAGTTTCTCGGAATCCTGCCGCGGCGTCCCGAGGCCATGATCCCTTGTGAATTATACATTTTCGCGTTTCCGAAACCATAAACCCTCGTTAATTACACAATACTCGCGCCCCCGAGACCATAATCCCCTGCAAATTACTCGATGTTTGCTTCTCCGAGGCCACGATCCCTCGTCAATTACATTGTCTTTGCGTCCCCGAGGCCATAAAACATTGTAAAGTACGCGAAATTCACGTCCCCGAGGCCACGATCCCTGGTAAATTACGCTATCGTCCCGTCCCCTCCCAAACACACGTCCCTTTTGGAAACGTGGGAGTTTCTCGGAATTGCTCGCTTGCAACCGTATTTTGAGAAACTCCAACTCCGTCGCATTTTCAGACTGCAGAGGAGTTTCTCGAAGTTCGGCCGCGGCGCCAAGCCGAATTGTGAGAAACTCTAATTCAGCCTGATTGTTTAAAAGGCCTCCTAGATGGGGTCCGAGTAGATGGGGTCGGAGGATCTCGCCGCATCGCCGATACATCGGCGATGCATTGCCGATGCATCGGCGACGCATTGCCGATGCACTGGCGACGTCGGTGATGTTTTGGCGACGTCGCCGTGGGAAACATGGGCTCCACATCGAGCCGCATCGTCGATGCATCGGCGATGCGGCGCGATCCTCCGACCCCATCTACTCGGACCCCATCTAAGAGGACTAGATTTTTGGGCCGCACAGGAGTTCCTCAAGATACGCTACAGGAGTTCAATGTCGAGAAACGCCTCCAATGCCAGGTACCCACGTCCACTCCGCGCACCAAGGGTCGCCCAGCTTCGTCCTTGCCGCGGCGTTCCGTCGGGCTCGTGAAAGGGTCGAGCGAGGTTGCGATGATCACGGGGCGAGGGTGCTCTGGAGGAGGAGGGCACGTGAAATGGAGAACTTCGGGGGGAAGCGAAGGAGGAGCGGCCCATGGGTGCGCGCGGGCGCGTCGCTTGCCGCCCAGTGCCTCGGCGCGCCGTGGGTGCCGGCCGGCACTCTGGGCGCGGGAGTTCGGTGCCGTGTCCTCGAGCCTCAGCAATGGCCACATGTCCATTGCGCATTGCACCACCACCACCACCACCACTGAGCCGTGCATCCGTGTGGACGCGTGGGCAAGTCACGCCAAACGCGCGCTTGCGCCAGGAGACCAGACATGCGTACGCCAAACGCGTCCGCGACAGTCTGCCATTGCAAGGAGACAGAAAAAGAGTTCGCCATCCATGGCTTGCGCCGCTCATCCTTTGTCCCGCCACCGGCTTCGACCCGACCTGCAGAAGATGGTGGGGACCGTGACACATCCCCCTACTGCGGAGCCGACGGAACCCGCACAGAGCCCCGAATGCATTGGAGGACGGGGGCATGACCTGCCCAAGAATCACATGGAACCTGGTGGATCCGCGGCGTGGGCAGGGCATGCTCCCCGGAGAGGGGGGGGATGAGGATGAGGATGAGGATGAGGATGAGGAGGAGGAGGAGGAGGAGGAGGAGGAGGAGGAGGAGGAGGAGGAGGAGCAGCGCCGCATGAGTGGCATGGAGGCCACCTGATCAGTGGTCATTGCCCGAAATGGCTGCAATTGCCAC